CACAACGGGCACGGGCTCTAACTCCAGAGCATGTACACATCCCCAATTCCAGCAAACGGGAGCAACAGGGGCGGCGGGAATGCCTACCTTCAAATTGGACGTTCAATTATCTGCGGCTAAGAGAAGATTTAGTTGCGCTAGGCAACGTTTTGGATAGCCAATTGTCTGCCATGGCGCAGCAGTTTCTGCATTTTGTATACCCTAGCAGAGGGTACAATCATTTCGTTACAAAATGTGTAACGCATAGATCCCTCCCAACGCATATAGAATGTATGTTAAAAATCGGTATAAACAGCCGATATAGTCATGTCCATCTGTCTTTTTTGATAAGATCTAGTCCTTCCATTTAAAAAAAAGCAGGAAACTATGCATAACTCTTTCTTTTTCTTGTTATCAGCCAGATCGGACGACTTAAGAATTAGATCTTGCATAAAAACCATTTCGTTTTCCAAGATATTATGTCCAGACTTAACATTTATGAGCTTGACTATGCTTCTTACATATTCCAATCCTGTTCAGAATGTACTACTATATTAATCGTAGGAAATTGAATAAATTGCTTTTTGCTTTCAAGCCACATGTCTGCAAGGGTATTTAATCTTCGGCGTGCCGAGAATAGGCGTCATTTCTTGTTTGTTGTTCCTGCTGCCGTCAGTGGTAGGTGGCACGAGTCATGTGGTCGGATCCGCTTGCCACGTTGATAAATGGACGCTAATGTGCCGGCTGCTCCTGCACTTTGTTCGCTACAATTTGACCCATTTCAGACGAGTTACGATCAGTTCAGCTAAACAAGCAGGAAATAAGTTGATTGGCTTTGGTTAAAAGCCAAGATATAGCAATTATTCACAGAAACTCAACTCATATAATATATATATATGATCAAATATATATATATATTATTTATTTATACCAGCCGATCAATTAGGTTAAATATAGTTATAAGGTTTGTCCAAATGTATAACAGATTCCATAAAAAAGCCATTAAGTTCCTCTATATGTATTGTTGGAAATGTTAGAATAATATGATATTGCCGACCCTATCTTTGTTAGATTTATAAAAAATATTTTAATTTATTGGTTAAACTTTGGTTATTATTAAGATTAATATTCAGACACTAGTTTGTGATGCAAATCCAGATCCTAGTTGTTGATTGGGAGATTTAGGCACCTCATCTACCGACTACTGCATTCTTAAACCTAATCTTAAATTGATTCTAAAAGTGATGGATTAGTTAACTGCAAAAAATATATACTAACTTGGGCTTATATTTGTTTCTGTTGCCAGGAAAACGTTCAATTTGAATTATAAACAACCGCAGCTTTTTTGCCCTGATTTAAACATATATCCTGATATTTAAATAACAGTTGAAAATTAGTTTGAAAGCTAAAAGCTTTGATCAAGTAAAGTGAATTGCAAGTTTTGAAAGAATTCATGTTTGGCTATTATTTGCCTGATCAGGAGAAGTTACATTTATAAAGTAGTCATGCCCGTCAGAGATACCTTCTTCGGCTTGTTGACAGCACACTTTTTTAGCCCATTTTATGGGTAGAGGGTATTAATAAAAGAGACGAAGCGAAAAATGAGCTGGCAGAAAAGATCATTAATGCACAGTTAAGAGCCTCCGGCTACAGGTCTCTCAGGTTTCGCCAGCATGTATCTGTGTATCTGTGTGTGAATAGTTTATCTATGTGTGTGTATAATTTGTGCTAAGTAAGTTTGTTATAGGCTGCATATCTTTTACGAGTTTGGAGAGCCCAAGAACATCACTGGAGGCTGGTGGAAGGGCTCCCTGGTCAGTTAACTTAAATTTGAACCTGTTCTTTTGGTTACAGTTGTCGCTGGGGTGGACGCTCTTCGCGATCGTGCTCGGTATTATTAACGATCATTATGAAGTTTTAAGTTAAGTGGTCAATTAACATTTGCATGACTGAAATCGGAATTGGAAATTAGTGTTTAACTAATTTATGCATACAGAAAAAGAAACTCCTAGCTGCCGGAGAGAACCAGCTTAACGGCTCTGAGTCGACTTTGATGCCAAATTCTACAAAGCCCTGCTGATACCTTTACCGTGCGGGTTCATTAGACTTCGAAGACACAGGCTGCATTTTTAATTGAAATTTTCAGCTGGTTTCTTTTCTGTTTTCCCCCAAATTGTCGTGCTCAGTTCAGCTCCAATCAATGGGTCGGAATAATATATTGGCTTTTAATTGATTAGGGACCTTCCCTCTATTCAGCTGCAGCTAAGGATCTTCTGTTGCCTGCACTTTATGACATCGAAATGTGCGTCTAATGCCCAAGACATTTTTCTGAAGCAGTAGTGGAATGTAACCACAATGTGATATATTTAATAATCATAAGTTTCTCTGTGCATATCAGTGTAGAACTTTGTATTGCATAGTAAGGGGTCAATGTGGGTAAAAGGCATTCATGTAGAGTCTAACTAGTACTCGCACTTAAGGCGCCAGCTACAATCGCGTCCGAGTCTAATATAACTTTATCAATGGCTAATGTCGCGATTAGATACTTACCGTATGGTGCTCTAGCAGTTCACTTGGAGGCCATGATTAGATACACTTTACTGTATGTGATTAGATACCCTCCGCAATGGCCAAACGGTGACCAACACATTTTTAATACACTGCCGTTACTTTTGTCGGAATGTACATTTATTTAAAAGCCTCTGTGATAAGGTGTGATCATGGTACGGTAAAAGGCCACGTATGAATGTCATTCCTAACAAATTTTTATAGGTTTATACTAAAATCTAATGTAGGTCTTAGAAAACTATATATTCCTAAATAACTTTCGAAATTCAAATGAATTGCTGGACCCATTTCGATCAAGTGCTATTGACTCAGATAGACCCATTCGACGATGATATGTAATTAATTTTCGCTATTAAATATGGGTTGGCTAACCTAAGGTTTGGCTAGGACCCTCCGGTTTTTGGCTTTGTGGGCTGATACTGCTCTGGTTGCCAGGCAAGTCATCATTATCTTTGACGCGTGGATATCAAGTGCTCTGGTCACATTTTTGATTAACAGTACCCAATCGATACAATCGCATCGAACAGTAGAGTAAAGTTCCTACCCTCGAGAGCGAGCACTCTGCGTACGTACATATATTCTGGTGAAGTGTTTCCCTATCGGCATGGTTTTCTATTTGCCCGAGTTAAGTTCTTGATTGTCATCGGGCAACTCATGCTCGCCTGGGTTGTGAAATAGCTGAGTTATGGATCCTATTCTTAACTATAGATTGGCGTGTGTGTGTGTTATATAATACAGACGTGGTTAAGGGTATCGCCAATCTCCTTGGTTAGCATTAAAAATTGTGAATTGTGTTGTGTAATTATATTATAATTTTAATTTTCTTTATAATTATTATTAATATTATTATAATTACAATTTGTATTTATAAGTTGTTCTGCAACGACCTTCGGATAGGGTAATGAGACATCCATAAAGCAGCCGGGGATTCGAGGCCGAATACTTCTCTCAATGACTGGTTGCTTGCTGAGTTATTAGTATATTAGAAGTATACAATTTGTTATTTTATCTTTATGGAGAACATCTGTGTAAGATTGCATTCAAAAATACAAATTAGTCAGCTTCAGGTTTTCTTGTTCTGACTAATTTAGTGCATTATTTTGTTAGACCTAAGATCCAGAACAGCCTTAGGTTAAGCTTGTTTTAATTGTGTCTAATGTGCCAGTTTATTGGAAATACTAAAAGTTCTTTTTCAAACTGGTCTTTAGTCGCAGTATTAAAGTTAATGTAACCTCCACTTGGATACGGTTCAGCATTATCGAATTACAATTGCGGTTCAAAGTTTAGCCCATTTCATATGTAGTCAGGGCTGGGCTCAATTGATTTCAACTTTAGGGCTAGGGCTTAGCATTCACTTTGGATTAAGAGTTACCTACACTCGGCCCGTTTGGACGCCTGACTTTTGGCGATTTAGTTGAAGAGAAATAAGAGTGTGCCTTCTTCATTAGTATCGCTGGCAGGTTCATTAACAGGTGTTATATTCGTTCCGGTTACGTTATCGTTCTGGCTGGGAATCGTCTCGACGGGGCGACCGAAACTAACGCCCATTGCAATGCCGTATTTTACGTGTTTTTCGGTTACCTTGATTAGATTTCCCCCGCCCTATTGACAAATGGGAAGCACTGTGCCAAGAACTTTAAAAGTTGAGAGCGTTGTAAACCGTTTACAGCCCATACTTCAGGGTGTTAGTATTATCTAAGTTGTACTATATAGACGTACACATGTACGTATAGGCATTCTCAACAGTTGGTTGTCTGTACAGTTGTATTCCATGTCGTGTACTATTGACAATTGCCTTGGTTGTTTAGCTTTTTAACGAGTGGCTTTTACCTTGTCGTTCCCGTTGCCCCCAATGCGTCCAATCTTATCTTGGGATGAGCTGACCAAGTTATAGATGAGTACTGCCAGTTGTTTGTTAGCTCATCTCAGCCAGCTAGTTGATTAGCTGTGCACACATAACTAAGTGTCGAATTCATTGTAAGATCTCGTATTCAGTTTGGGATACAAAGTAAGCAGAAGAAAATCTGTTCCCTGTTCGTTTCTACAGCTAAATTGGTCGATGTCCCATAACTAAAATGAAATTGGTTTATTATTATTTTTCTTTCTTTTTGTATATACAAAATATTATAAGGAAAGTCGAATCTGCTGTGCTGGTTTTCATATGTGTGTGGGCTAGGCGTCATCAAGTTTATTGGCTGGCATATTTTGTCACTAAATATTGTACAAAAATTAAGAAATCCGTCGTTAGTCTGTGACAAAACAATAAAATGAAATGCTGAGCCAAGAAACAGGAACTCAGATCGGGGGTAAAACAAAAAAAGAAGCGGAACCATAAAATATATATTTTTATGGGCTCTACACTTAACTTGGTCGCAGTCCCTGTCGCTGGCTATCTCTTTGTGTTCCCTATACATAATGTATACCTGCTCACGTACAGACACACACACACACACACACACATACACACACACGCACAGGCAGTAGTAGCCCGGTGTCATCGAAGATCTCTCAACTGATGTCATCCAAAAAAACGCGCCTCTGCTGCTGCAAAGAATATATATACATATGTGTATTCTGGTATATACAACATTTTGACCAATTTTCTGTTGTTCGTCCATGGCATCCGCAGTCGCAGGCAGGAAGATCTGCCAGTTTGGCGGGCCCTCTTGCCCTGCCCTGCCCTGCCCTGCCCTGCCCGGCCCTGCCCGGCGCTGCCCTGCCTGTCGCCCTTCGGCAGTCGCAGGCTTGGCAAGTTTTCCTACACGCACAATTGAAAAACTTGTTTTACGATTTACGTTTTCGGCTATGGTTTTTCGCAAATTAAATTGCATTCAAAAAAAAAAAAAAACTTCTTTTTTTTTGGTGGTTTTATGATGTATAAGGACACGGACGACATCTTTACCTGACAGTATTAGAATTATTTAAATCAAGAATCTAATGCTGCCCGGTAAGATGTGAACAGATGTCCTTGCAAATAAGTAATTGCAAGCAAACAGATTATATTATAACTTATATTTTGTTTCGCGTAGCACACGGTATTCTTATGTATAATTATGATTTAGCCGAAGGTAGATATTCTTCAGCTTGGAAACAGAAACCATTCCCAAAGTTCGTTCATCTGTGAGCTTTGATTTTGAACCATTTCCAATTCAGTTCGAATCTATTCAATTGCATAGTGACACATTTCCTTATGCATGCAGATACCCCAGCACTGAGCTGCTGGCTTTTTACGGGTGTGTTTCCGACGCCAACGGCGAGTTTAACTTTGTACCGCAGCGCGTGATGGCGACGAGAGAGAAATATGGCAAAAAGCAACGCCTACCAGCGTGTGTAACAATAGTGCACAGTATGTACGAGTGTACGAGTGTATGAATGTATCTACATATGTACATATCAACGATGGTGCTATTATTGTTATTATTATTGTTGATGTATTTATAATTAAATCGATGTTGGCGCCAGTCGCTGCGCGCACAACAGTAACGCGATTTCTGTTGTTACGCCAAGCACACACACACACACACACATACAGACACGGATTCAATTATATTTATATAAAATATAGGCAAGTATATGACGATTGGTATTTTGATGAATAACCGATAATTGAATCTTTACACTTTATTCGTTTTATAGTTTTTTGACACCGGAAATACGCACATACATACAAATGTATGAACGCGTGTGCACACTGGCACACTCAATGTATGAGCAACAGTTGCACTGGTGGTGACCGTCGCGATCGAGCGCCAAATAAGAATTGAGAAACACGAAAAAAATTGAGAAACAGGCGGGCGGAAATTCAAAATTTTTTTTGAATTCAACTAACAGCAACGTTTACATAGTATGTTATTGTTAACACAGAAATGTTAGGCAAGCAACCGGCTGCAAGACAACATCGAACCAAGCGCGCAACATTAAACCAATTTACCAAGTTCGCAATGTGTTTGAGAGCAACATATCCAAATGAGTTACTTTTAAGTTGAGCACATAAATAATTGATAAACGGTAAAACTTCTTTAATTTTTTTGGATATAAACTAAAAGTGAAGTTTGCGTATTACGTTAATGCTAACTCACAATGGCACTGTTACACTCTCACAAGCTACAAGCAACACAACATCGAACCAAGCGCAACATCAAACCATTTTAACATTCTGCTATTTGTTCAAACGTGCTTGACAACAATAATGTAAGCTGGCTGGTGTTAATTTTGATGATGATAATTGTTAGCTCTATAAATTTTAAAATGCATAATAAATTTTATATACACATATATTGATGCAAACATACATATTTTGTCTGTGCATGACATTGATTCCTCAGATTAAAACTGAGTAGAGAGCTGCGTACAGGGCATACAAATTGGGTCAGGAGACTCCTCTTTCTTCAGATCATGATCGCCAAAGAATTTACCCCAATTGAGTATTTTTTTAAGATATGTACATTCATAATATATACCAAATGCTTACAACTTCTTTAGATACATGTGTATCTAAATAATTTTGGCGGGCTTTTGATGACCTTGACGAATGATTGAGAAAGTAGTTGATAGACTTGTTTCGAGAATGAAGCTTTAACTAGCCTTGCTCAGTAGTTGTTTTATGAGGAGGTACACCAAGAAAAACGGCGTTACTAACTACAATTAAGGATTACCTGCTTACTGGACTTATCGCTGGGTTCATAATTAAAAATGTTTTGCTTAATTATAAAACCATGATTTGATGATTATTTCCATCAATGTGCTGGAAGCTCGTCTGTATGCCCTCTATTTGCCATTTGCCTTGTGGAAGTAGTAACACTTTATTAATGTTTTGCGTAGCATTCGTGTTAATTATAATTTGATAAATTTGCTTAATTGCATTTCGATTTTCATCACACTTATCCCTGACCCTCTGATATATGCATACGTTGCCTGGCGCTATACCTGCAACTGAGCACGTGTCAAGTGTCAGAGTCTGACGTCCATCACAGTTGTTCAGCAATTTTGTATATTTTTTTTATACATATTTATAATTTGCGTTATTTTGTTGGAAATGTGTGAAACACGCTTTGCCGTAGTGTCAAGGTGTTAAAATCCTGAACACACACCACACACACGCACACCACAATCACAACAGCAATCACAAATTGCGAATTCATTAAAAGTTGGTTCGATTTGTAGCAGTTCTTTTTTTTTAATCACTTTTCGATTGATTCAATTAACCGATTTTTTGAGACCTGCGGCACGACGCACTTGTCTGTTTTAGTTTTCTTTATTGTTTGAATGCATCTTCTAGATGATTTGCTTCTGCTTTCTCTAATTGCTGTGGTTTATTTATTCATGTCCTAGTGGCATATTTGAGGGCTTTGAGGATCCGAAGATTTACCCTACGGCTTGGTATCTCATGCTGCTGCAAGCCCTTGTATCTGTAGCACGTGCGGTGCATGGATTCCGCAAAAGACTTTAATAGTTGTTAAATCATTTTTTTTTTGCTGCTCTCGTGGCTTTCGAGATTTACCCACCCGGGTGGCAACATAGAGTTAGAGACTTTTTTTTTTTTATTATTTTTAAATGCCTCGAGAGACGAGCGAGCAGACGTCCAACAGGGCACGCGGCACACGATCAACTGTAACGGTAAAAATGGAAACAAGTTTGATATAAAGTACAAAAGTTAAGTTCCAAATACAACAGTTCGACGTCGACGAGCGTGTCTGTTGAGTTAACATTAACATGTTGCATGCCGAAAGTTGTGAGCAAACACTGTTAAGCCGCCAGCATATTAATTAACATAGCTCTCTTTTGGCTCTATATCTATGATAGTCGAGAACGAGAGAGAACTGTTCCTTCTCCCTCGCTCTTGCTTTGCCTCTCGTTACACGCTGTGCGTTTTATTTGTTGTCGCATTTCTATTAGCTTGACATTTGTTTTTTGTTGATGTTGTTGCCCGATACTACAGCCATCTCGTTCTGTCCCACATTACGCTGCCGGCTTGCTACGTGCTGTAGTCGTCCCTCTCACAGCGCACATGTTGCGACCGCATGGTTTCTGTTTTACGTTCGATCGTTTATAGTTCGAAGCGCGCTAGCTTACAATGTGCCGTGCCAGTTGGCATACGTAGCAACTGGTTGCATTCACATAAGTTTGTCATACGGACAGCCATGTGCGTGCGCACGTATGTATGCATGTAATACTTAACATCAAAATCTATTACAAAATAAAATACAACTTTTTCGAAAAGGGGAAAAAGAGGGAAAACTCCATATATAACAATTTTGGTTTGGTCGGCATGTATTGTAATTCACCGCGTCGCGCCTCTCGCCTGTCAACATTTCGATATTTTCACTCAATTAATAAGAGTAGCCATGTACCCTACACATTTAGGTTGGATTTGGAGAGCCATGGTATAAACTTCAGATTTCAGTAGGTAATACAGTTAAGCCTCACTAGAGACTATTTAAAAACCCTAATTGATATGGTCTTGGACAGCTTGAGGAATGAACTGTGGTACATACATAATACATGTAGACACATGTGTGTTAGAAAAAGGAAGATGCAGACACACATATATAAATATATACAATGTGTATATTTGTGGAAATATGAGCATGCATTATTATTTGTCTGAGTATGTATGTATGTGCATGTACACCAGGATTGCCAAATATATTATCCTATCTCTTATTTTTTGTTAGAACAAACAAATCCAAAGACTTGTTTCCACACGAGGTAGGGTCTCACACTGTCATCGTCAACCGAAACTCACATATTGTTGGGTTTGGGAAGCTTTTTTTCATTTTTTTTTTTTAATTTTTTGATGTTTTTGTTGTTCCTCTTGCTGCTGCCGCCTGCCTGCGTTTCATGAGCAGCAGATCATTGTCAGGCCCGGTTCTCAATTTTTGGTATAACACATACACGCTGTGCCGACTACATGCACACAGTAAACGAATCTCCTGTAGTTTTTTAATTTTCAATTTTTCGCTTGCCTCTTTTTCGGGTTGAAGGACCACGGCCCCTTCTCAACAACAGTCCGCTGCCCGCTCTTGCCGGACCTGCCCTCTGCCCATGGAGATTGCGCGCATTCACCCTGCGGCGGCTAATTAAAAACGCGCCAAGACCGAGGGTTGGGTTGGGTGAGGAGCACCGAAATGTGTAAGAAATATCTTTGCCTGATCCTAAGGAGCATCAATTTTTAGTTAGTTTCTTCTTTTGTAGTTGAGCTTGTGCTTGAGTTAACTGTGATATAAAATATTGCCTTCGCTTTTACATTTCTTGCGTTCAAACAATTTACAAATTAATATGATATGTGAGCTTCTTTTAAATAAATATCTGATGACAACTTAAACTATATAAACACAAATGTTCTTAGTTTTGTAAGGCGACCAATTTGGTACACAAAATAATATTATATATATAAATGAAGTTTAATGTTGGATTTGGCGACCTTTCTATTTTCACATATTTTTAATAAGTGGAAATCGCCCCTGATCTTTTACTGATCTTTTTTTTTTTATCAACAAGCATTTTTAAAGCATTGAAAACATTTTACATATAAATAAAAGATCTGCATTATTAAAGTGTACAGTTTGGTAGGGTATGTGATTTCGGGTAAAATATAAGTTAAAAATTTATTAATTTTTTATTTATTTCTCTTTATTAATGTCTACAACGAGTTTTCCAAAGAGAGTTTACGCAAGAGTTTTTACAAATGTTTAAATGTTTAAAAAATTGAAAAAAATTCTAGACGCCATACATCGAAATTAATTTTTCCTGGAATCAATAATGTGTAACGGACTTGGCTTTCCATTGGTCCAATCGAATTGATTCCTCCTAACCGCATAAAATTTTTAAAAAATATACTAAACTGGTCGAGACCGGCAATTTTACCTTATTCAAACCGTGAGCCGAAGCTAACGTTTAGATTAGGCGCTACCGATATCAGAAGCTAACTGTATAATTTTCATAAATGCATTTGTCATCCGAACATTTTTGTGAGTGGAAAAATATTCAGCAGAAGCACATTGAAATTAATAAATACCAATGACAACCATATATATAATATAGTTGCTCGATATTGATCTTTTGCGCAATAAGTGAAACTATTCCAGGTCGAGTTTTGACAAGATATCCTGATAAACTAAAATAAACTTAATTTTCGTCAGATTGTGATAAAGTAGTCTGATCCGCAATGTTCCGACATATGCACTGCTCGAAGCAGAATGACTGAACTATGGCAATATCTTTAAGGCTGTGAGACTAGCTTGCATAGATATAACAGAGTCTATATGGACTCTGCTGTTAATAGAGATTAAGATTATAGATTGAATTAAAATACAATCTACTTTGGTAAAAAAGCTATAAAGAACGGTTCGTTATAAATTATAAATCGGAATGTTTAATTAAAATTTTGAATATATTTGACGTACCTAGCTTTAAAGCAAAACACGGATATATGTGTGTGGAAAACCAGGTTGACTAAGGGCCCAAGGTTGACCCAAGGGCCAACTACCAAAATTTTATTTGCCTTGCAGTCATGGTTAATTTCAATAACAATTGCATAATGCCCAGTCCGATGATCAAATTTTGGCCGGTTCTTCGGGCTGTGCTGCTCCTTGGCCTGGTTCGGCCTGACCTGGTGGAGCTGCGTTGACACAGGCGACGTAGGTTACGCACTTCCAGCAGCACTCAGGAAATGGAATGACGGTCGAGACGCCATCGCCGTTGCACATTTCGAAAGGAGCTGGTATCTGACAACTTTTGGTAAAAGATATCAACTAAATGTCCTGAAGATGCCATACACCACTATCAGCTTCGACTTACTAGTGAATCAGAGCGTCGCCTTCTGTATTTTGGCATACGTAGACTCCGCATGTTAAATCATCTTTAAGAGTACCACCCACTAGCATCTCAATTCCAGGGGGAGGAGCTCTCGCTGCTACTGCAGGTTCCGCAGCATCTGCTCCTGCCGCTGCCCCTGCATCTGCTCCTGCCGCTGCCCCTGCATCTGCTCCTGCCGCTGCCCCTGCATCTGCTCCTGCCGCTGCCCCTGCATCTGCATCGCCTCCTGGTTGAGCTGGTTGAGCTGCTTGAGCATCTCCTCCAGGTGCATTTGCTGCTGCAGGTGCATTTGCTCCTCCAGGTGCATTTGCTGCTCCAGGTGCATTTGCTCCTCCAGGTGCATTTGCTCCTCCAGGTGCATTTGCTCCTCCAGGTGCATTTGCTGCATCTCCTCCTGGTGCGCCGCCTTTGGTTCTACACCCGTTCACTAAACACATTGACGCATTAGCGCATTTCGATTTATTTAAATATTGTTCGGTTACCTCCTTTGTCCAATTTTTGGTAATGGACCAACCCACTGATGCAAAACGCGAAGCTAATCAGGATAACAACTTTCGGATAAAAGTATTTCATGATCGCTCAAATTGTTCAGTGAATGCAACAATTAAAACTGTAATTTTTGCATAGTGAAAATGCCTTTTATAGTATAAATTCTTGAAGGCAATTCGGCTACCTTTACACACGTGTTCTTGCACCTGTCAAGCCAATTCATACAAAAATGTATCGCAGCTAAATTCGGAGAAAAATCAAATTCCAATCATTGATATATGTATTTTTTTATTTTTAATTGAATTTAATCGTACCGTTATCACAAACTAAGTATTTTTGTGTGGCTCTGCTTAGCACGTGTACTAGGTTGGTGTTACCCGGCGTTGCCCATCCGAGCGATTAATGAAAAAAATTCTGTACATGTTCATAAGTTGTTCATGACGAGCTTCAAATATGAATTTGAAGATCACATACAAAACTGAGCACCCAACGTCAGACATTGTCAAAAATGATCGAAACAAAGAAAGAAAGCACAGAATGAGATCAAAACCAATCAAGCTTTTCAACCAAGGGGGTAAATGTTCTGAAAAATGCTAAGTAGGCCTCGAGAAAATGCTGCGATTTGCTGGTGAAATTGTTTGTTTTCGAGCAAGATGAGCTTAAAAACGAAGTTTGACCTTTGACATAAGGCGCGACATGTGTAAAACAGAGGGTTATTTTTGGGAGTCCCACAAATATCTCCAATAAATTACTACCGAGATCTTTAGCAATGAGTTTGAAGCTAATCGAATAAAAAAGTGTTTATACGAAAAATGAAACACGTCCTAAGTGGGTTTTTTTTTTAATGATATTAGAGCCCATTGGATGTTAGGCAAGTGGGTGGAAAATGCCAAATCCACAATCAGTCTGTCAGTCCGTCAGTCCGTCAGTCAGTTAACCAGCTAATCAGTAAATTAACCAGTAAGCCAGTCAGGATAAACAATACGTTTTCATATACATATATATATATATGTATATATATACATATATTTACGAAGGATTAGAAACGTTTCAAAATGAGTTTTAAATTATTTAAGACGATGCTGATGTATCTTAAAGAGGCTAATGTAACAACTGAAATTTAAACTTTTTATTTCTTAAAAAATATAAAATAATGATATTGTAGACTAAATAATCGAATGGATATCGAGTGGCAGGTAGTTGCGATTTCTTCGGCTGCGTCGCTGTCGGAAGGTGCCGGCGGAGGCCTTCTGCTTGGCCTCGACTGCAGCGCAGGCTGCTTTGTATGCCGCCTGTTTGGTCTTTTCGTAGTCCTCGCGTGCGCTGTGTAGCTGCTTGGACAGGGTCCCCAAACGATTCCGGGCCGCCTCGAGCAGCTGCACTTTGGCGGTCATTTCCTGCTGTGAGCCCATGGCCACAGTCTGAATGTTGGCCAGATTCTCCTTGATCGTCTTGTGGAGTGCGGTGAGCGCCTCAAACTGACTCGTGGCGGCGCGAGCCGCCTCTATTGCGGCATTCATGTTGACCTCCGTGTTTTGGAGCGAGACAGTCTCCTCTTCCACAACAGCATTGGCCTCCTGCATTTCCTGTTCCAGCTGCTGGACAACCATTTGCTTGCCGGTGAGCGCCGCTTCGGCTGCCTTGGCTGACTGGAATGCCTTTTCGGCCAGCTCCTGCTTGATGTGCTGGGCAGCCAATTGGCCGGCTGCATGTTGCGCCTCGTTAGCCGCCTTCGCATCCTGTGCCGCCTTAATGGCTATGCTGGAGGACTTTTGCTTGGGATCACCGGGTGTAAATATTTTTTTCACATCACATTTTTGCTCGGGATTCGATTCAGGGCAACTTGATCCGCCACCCTCATTCCCTTTTGCGGCTCCTTCACTGCCGCCAGATGGTTCCGTCAAGGAGCTTCGGCTTTCAGCTTCTCTTCCAGCTGCACTATTGATAGCCGCAAAGTCTGCGTAAAGGTTTTGAGGCCACGCCATGCGCTTTCGATGATGCCGCTAAGGGTTGCATGCATCAGATTCGCCACATTATAAAACATCCCACAGATGACCCACACTCACCTTGACGAGTCGATAGCCAATCGCGTTCATGATTGAGGACAGCAGAGACATTGCGAGCAGTAGACAAAGGAAAGCACTGTGTATTCGCATGGAGAACGATATTACAAGCTTCTCATCGCACTGTCGATAAGTCGACGAAGTACGTTGCTTAGATTCAGTGCTTGACGTGCTGAGCATGTGCTCCAAGTTGCTTTGATTTTGATCCCAGTTACATTAACTTTCCGACTCCCTCATACAGAAGAATCGAGCCACCATAGCCGGGCCTAACACCACTTATTCATTTTATTCTTAATAATGAAATACATGAGTTCATCTCGTTATGGCTTTCGACTGTCATCTTTGCATTGGATTCCGAGTTGTGTCAACATACTTTTGAAATACTTTTAAACTGACAGCACATGATATACTGATCAGGGCTGCAAAGCCCCAAACAATATATAAGTGCTTCGGTTCATGTTTCTAACCAACTCCCAAATCTTAAATGCGGTTCGTGAATCTGGTCTTCTACATGCTTGAACCAAGAGTTCAATCATACATATTTCCATAACTATCTAAAGAGTTATGCTTTATGGTTGAGTCTTCAGTAAATATTTTTTATATTCAATCAAACAATAAGAAAATAATTTGGTTTGATTTAGGTTCCGGTTCATCGCTCCAGTAACGCCAGGAAAAATGCCATATAATCTTTTTACTTGGTAAAAGAGTATAAGTATTTATTAATACCCAATTTAAAAAAATAAATCCTTTTCATTTACATTTACAGGTAATAGTTCACTGTGAATTGCATTTGATATGCATTCCGCAAAATGAATCACTGAAGAATATCCTGAAAACTCAAGATTTTCACAACAATTAGATCAAAAATATCACACTGGTAGAATTCGCCTTCTAATACGCCCAATAATTTTATTGATTAAATAAGAAACAAATCGTTATTTACAGCGCCTGCACAAAGTAAACTAAACAATCGATTCGTGTTACGATTGCAGGAGTCTGGGATGGTGCCCAGTGACACAAGGGAATTGTTTATGATTTAATGTAGAGTTTGAATATGTATACAAAAATCAATGCATTATTTGCACGTACATGTTAGTGAACCAACTCGCTGCTATAAAAGCCAACTCGAGTGAATATGCCACAGTTAGAAGCATTTTTGCATCGATTGTGCGGACTGATTCATTATGAAACATATTTGTGAGCTATACATTATGCTCTTCGGGCTGGTCTGCAGTGCCAGTGCCTTGGTGCATCTGGTGCATTTGGGCAAGGGGGGTAAGAATGTGATGATTCATATTCTTGTTGTACTCACTTTCCTCTGTCTCTGTCTGTCCCCCGATTAAGTATAGTCAACGGATGCGTTACTACGAAAGGCGAAGTACAAGTTGGTGAAGAGGTCCCAGATGAGAAAACATGCGGAATATTTGCGTGCCTGGATAAGGAGGGCAATGGCGTCTATCAATTGTAAGTTTTGATGGGTCTATTAAAAGGCTACACATCATCCTTTAATGCCTGCTCTCCTCATAGTTGTCAAAAACCTGTGACCTTTGCCAATTGCAAAACAGATCTCGTCAATACAAACGGCAAATTTCCCGATTGTTGCTGGCAGTGTGTAGAGGGCGTGGCCTGTTAAGGCAAGGCAATGGGCCCCAGCCAGCCCAGCAAATGACATATCAAAGCTGCAGTCGAGTTATCTGAGTGACCCATTCGTTCAGGCCACTTCATGGCCAGTGCATGGATGAGGCTGAGTCTTAACCTCAGGCTATAGCAGCCAGTTTTATTCATAAGATTCATAGTTTGTAATGACTGTAATTAAAATACTTTTAATTAAAAGGATAATAATAATTTTCAATCTACTAAATAAGTTGAAAAGGTAATGCATTTAATTCTTACAAGTTGGGGTTTTAATCGTGTAAGAATACATCTTACCCTGGCTCGACCATTTAAAGTTGTCTTTTCCGTATTGTATATGGTATATCATGTATGTCTGTGTGTACTTAGTATTTACTTGCATATATATACATATATGTGTGTGTGTGTGCAGCACCTCAGCATTCCATTTGCGTCTCATTTGTTGTCTGGTCGCTGTCTGTCTCTCTGTCTGAGTGTCCGCGTATCTTTGTATCTTATAGATACATAGCGCATTCTAAAGTGTCTACAAGTGATGAGCACGGCATTTAGTTGCAATTTTCAGTTTCACTTGGCGACGACGTCGACGCCGGTGAATAATAAGAAACAAAAGCAACAGCAACAAAGTAAAAGACTGCTTAGACGAATAAAAATAAAAATAAATCAAATGCAAACGGGCAAAAACAAAGGCGATATAGACATGAATTGCTATAAAAATGTGAGCTATGCTAGATGCAAATGCTAAAAGCGAGAAAGAAGCAGAAGAAGAAATCTATGGCCAACCCGAAGCTGGCTGACAAACTGTTTCAAAGAACAAATAGATTGTGAATAGGACATATGTATATAGTTAGGAACATCAATAACATCCAATTTGGATATATAAATGATAAATGTTATCAAATAGCGTGAAAAGGTACGACCTTCAAGACAATACTACAGCCTAGGATTCGAACCAACTCCTCTGCCGGGGAATGTAAATGTTAAATATTCAATTGAATTGGAAACAAATTTTGAATAGCCTTAAACGTTGAGAAACCATTATAATTATTCTTATAGAAATATATATTTTAGGTTTATAATCAATCTGTGATAGACTTTTCATAATTATTGGTATAGGAAACCACAAATCAATAGATGTAAGCCCTCTAAATTTGATTTTTAATTATATAAGAGCACATTCAATCTTTGATACGCCTTTCGAAACACAAAGTGTTGGAGCTGGGGCTAGAGTTCAGGATCTAATTCGATTATAGGAAAAAATGCATGCGCTGGCAACATGAGCAATGTCTGAGCGGGGTTAGAGTTTAGACGCCAGACTGATAAGTAAATCAAAAAGTCATATAGTCATATAGTCGGGGTAATTACAAAATAGTACTCGTAAGTTGGCCACTGCATGTCAAACTGTGTCAAATGGCATATTAAAATCAAAGTCTTGAAATGAAAATGCTTTTAACAGCCGTGCATTAAGTAATCAACATGATAACCCCAAAAGTCGCTCGGGTAGTACATTCTATTGGAGCGACCGAAGCCAACTAAAACTCAAACGAAGCTGACGCTGAAACCGAAACTGATAATCTGTCAGGCACAGGCACAATATAAATACGTACATATCATATTGTGTACATACATGTACTACGTATACTCCATACATATATGGAATCAAACACAAATATTTATTTTTAATGCCCTATTAAAATAGAATTCTCGAAGTGCGATTGCGTCCAGCGACGAGACAACAAACACAAAATTAAGTTTGCTTATCAACTATGCATAAGTGTGTGTGTGTGTGTGTATATTTGACTGAATGACAACAGCAACAACAAAAGCTACAACAACAACATCTAACTAGGATTGATAAGGCATTGAAACAGCACTGTTCTGACAGTGTGCGGCTGTGCATGTGTCAGAGTTCAAACATAATACCATACTTAGACAGATCTGGACGTACCATAATCGAATCCAAGTGGAAACTTCTTATCAGCAGGTCAGCTCCGAGCTCAGCTCAAATAGCTATTAAATGGGAACAGCGCGTTCCACTGGCAAGTGCTCGAAAAATTCTTAAGTAATTTTTGATTTTGTTTAATGGTAATCAGCTTGACATAAGAGCTAGACGAACAAAATAGCAGGAATGCTCTACTTTAGTGTAGAATTATTTAATGGGTCCGACCTGCAAAATTGTTAATGCCAAAGAGAAGTTGAATGTAGATAAAAATAAAATAATTTATTATTGTGTATTTAGTTAAAGAATAAGTCGAGCAACATATAAGCGCCAACTATATAAATCAGCTGTTGTGTATTATTTTTCTGATTATTTTACGCAAGTCTCTATTAAAGAGAATTTAGATAGTTTCTCGCAAAAGAGTATCAAATAGTTGTGCTTTACACTGAAACTTAGTTTCTAGGAAGATTTGTATTACGTCGTAGCGGACCCGGGGTCTTTGCGAGAGCAACAGGTTGCTGCCGTTGGCAACCGGGAATCCAGTTATGTAGCTTCAGCTTCGGTGATTCCGGGGCAACAACAACAAGAACGAGCGCCAAGTATTTGACGCCGCTGGGGCTATCAATGCAATTGAACTCTGGTAACGGGCAACTGACAACCAACAGCAATCGAAGAAGAGAAAAAGATAGAGACTCAAATGTATGAAGGAGAGTGAGAGAGAAATAGTTGTATGTATGTGAATTTATTTGTAGGTATACATATTTATGTATGTAAGTACATATAGAACAAGTAAAACAACTTGCTGGATGATTTGATACTAGTGCCGAGATCTGTTGGACTCATTTTAATTGCAAGTAATCTTTATAAATAGAAAACATGACGAAGACACCCAAGAACGTAAAGCAAAGACCGAGGAGGAAGGTCCCCCCCCCCCTACTTCGGCCCGAGTCCGATTTATGCATGAATGCGGTGGACAACGCACGCACTAACGACCAATGCATAAATCAATGAGGAGGGCTTCAGAATCCGAAGGGGATATAACCAGACAAAAACTAAACGTGGAAGCCAATGCGAAAAATGAACTGGCACTGGCCATAAATGAGTAATTGCTGACATTGCCGTAGCCATTGCCATGTCCAGCAGGGGCAGAGGCAGAGGCAGAGGCAGAGGCAGAGAGAGAGAGGCTGCAGCTGAAGGAAACAAGCGGCGTTCAGGTCTGGAGTCCGTTTCCGTTTTTAGCGGAGACAACAACCCATAAATGTGCGCCTAGACAAAGGCCTAAAACAAACAAACAGGCAAGGCTTAGGCCGCGGCAGCAATACTTAGTGACCATCCATGCCAGTGCTTGGCATTCAATTACAATTACAGCCCCCATGCCGACAACAACGGCAACAGACCGACTGGACTTCTGCAGAAAAATGCTTGGTGTCTCTTGGCGTGTTGCTGTATTGCTAGCTTGGATAACTTGGAGTCTTGGGTTTGGCTTTTTGGTCTTGGTCTTGCGGCTGGCGCGGCTTCCAGGTAACGTCTCTCTAACGGTTCGCCGCGATACTTGTTTGTATCTCTATATTTCCATCTACAACTTCAACTCCAGCTCCAACTCCCAACTTCCAACGCCCAACTCCATCTCCGTCAGCATTTCTATTTGAATCTGTTGGCGCGATGCGCGCGTCTCATGTTGACAAACTCACTTAACAAATCCACAACTACTTATACAACCCGCAGCAGTACAACAAACAGTAATTTTTCTCGCTTCATTGGCATCGTCTGCCGACTGCTGACTGCCGGGAAGAAGCCTGTAAAGCGAGCATAAGCATATCGGCGGTTTGTTTAGTCAACTTGCCCCGTGAAGCCGGTGCGGCGGTAGGGGACAGGGGAGAGGGTATATGGGCAGACTGAGAGGGGCGACTTAAAACTTGGCTGCTGCCAGTTAAGTAAACAGAGAATTTGTATTGTACAAAGGCCACAGACAGACACAGACACAGACACAGATACAGATACAGATACAGCAGCTACTCGGCATTGCGGCTGACCGTTGTTTGCCTTGCTCTAGAGTTCTCCATGGCTACAGAACGTTGCCTGGGCGCGGCTGCATCCATATAGGCTCTTAATGATACAACTATACCAAAATATATATGCATACATATAAAAAGAAAAATGTCATGAAATGAAACGAATTTCGTCTATGCCATCGCCACCATCCAATGCACATTATAAAAGTCCAAGAACAACACTCTGCAACATGATTTCAGATTTCATTGGGGTCATTTCTTTCAATTTGACTAAATCTGATTGTTGAAGTGGGGCCTAACTTTGAGTATTTGCTTATGTTTTGAATTTTAGCCAAATCAGGCTTGGATTGGTTCACAATTGCACCAAGGAACCAAATCTTGGGCCTGTGAAGCACATGATTCACAAACCAAACTAAAATTCAAACTAATCATGAATCGAACTTGTGACTATATTTCTTTGGTTTTATCGCCCGTCCTTAAATACCACGAATGGTTTTGAATCAACATTCTTGTGGCCTTAATTTTGTGTGTGTGTTCTACTGTGTATTCTGGTTGACTGAAAGATACAAAATTACACGCAAGCTGCGACACTTATGCTAGACGCGACAATAATATTTCTATAGCAGAAACTTCACACTTAATGTATTTTGCAAAAAAAAAAAAAAAAAAAAAAATTTAAGCAGCAAAAAAGAAAACACATAAACAGAAAGAAAAATAAAAAAACACGGAAAACAAAAACAAATTGAAAAACCTCCAAAGTAGTTGCACATGTTGCCTGAGGCGGCCCAAATTACTTGTGGCCGAGCAGAGCCGCAGCAGAGGAGCAGCAGACGGCAACGGCGGCGACTAGTCAATGCTTTAAGGAATATGGCAGCAAATAATTAAAACATATTTAAAAATAGTTTGCCATATGGATGACGACTACAACGACAACGGCAACGACAACGACAACGACGGCGACGACGACGAGGCCCGGCTGGGTAATGGCTGTTGGCTGTTGCCTGATGGTGACGTGGCTGGTCAGCCCCCAAGAACAACAAAAGCCAACAATTTCGTCTGGCCAAATGCGACGCCAACTCCGACGCAGCCGCCACCCCCACCGCCAGCAGCCGTGCCACATTTACTAAATACAGATACAGATACAGATACAAATGCAATTGCAGATACTTTTCGTCTGCCAGTCGACTTCTAACAGCCATCCATCTAACCATCTATCTATACCAACAATTACAACTTATCCTCTCATCTCGTCTGCTGCCAAGTTCAAAATTATATGCTTTGCACTTTATTTTGTTCATGTCAAAAAGAAACAACAAATTAAACAGAAACAGCAACAACAACAACAGCAAATACACGAGTTCTTATTTCGAGTTGAAAAAAATATTTCGGAAAACTTGTTGGATTTTTTGTTTAGCCAAAAATACACGTATGAAAACCTGCGCCAGCCAGGCGCTAATGTTGTTGTTTCAGTTTCTCATTATACCCTGACAGAGGGTATTACACTTTGTCACGATGTGTGTAACGACTTGTGGAATATAAATTGTTGTTCAGCATCAATCGGGGGTGCAAGCCAAACAAAAAATGGTGCCTTTAAATTTACCTGGTTTTCACATCGATGAAAATCTTTTATTAAAATATATAAAATTCTTTAAGTTTTTGTAAAACAATTTAATTTGTAAATTAGTCTCTTTAATTTAAATGCTATCGTTATAATACTTTGTAGATGTTCAACTTATTGTTGCAGTCGGCGTTGGTCAGATCGGTTTGGGTCAAATATCATACAAATGCCTAAGAAACGATGGGTACATAATTAGGTTCTTGCATGAAAACATTTCTTTATATATATATAAATATATCTGGATCGAACTTAGACTACTATAGCGTATAGCACGTGTATTTGAACTCTAAGGAATCTTGCTAAAGCTCAGAAAATACATGCTTTACTATTCTCCCAAAATAATTGCGAAACCATATCAAATCGGACTATTCTATATTATATTATATATAATATGTAATATGATATATTACATATGGCTGCCATAGGAACAATCGGTCGAAGGTAAAGCTTTTGTATAAGAGAAATGGCTGAAAGGGTATTCAATCGACGGCGTTCTTTTATGATTTCGGTTTTCTCTTTTTCTCATTTTGCTGAGTAAAAGTGCCTAAAAAGTATCCGCTGTGTAGCTGCATCTGTGGCTGTATCTGTTGGATGGTGCGAATTTATTTTCGTCATTTTTATTTAATTTTATTTCTTTTTGTTTCTATTTTGTTTTTGTATACTTACGTGGCTGAGCGCGTGCGAGAATCTTACAAATGAAAATTGTAATATTTTCGACAGCAAACAAATTTGAAATGTCTCTGAAACGTTTGTTGGATCATTTGTTGTTGTTGTTGTATTTTCTTTTGTTTTGGTTTTCAGTTGGTGAATCCCAACAGACGTTGAAAATTGCAACTTTGTGTGCGACAGTCGTTGGCCGAGATACTTGCCCATTTCTATATCAATTAATTTGATTACTCTACTAAACTGAAAGCGAGACGCTCCCCGAATGCAATCAATCAGTCACGCTTATCTACGAATGGCTGCCGTGCATAATTCATAAGGTTCCCCCCATCTTGTGCAGCGTGTGCTCGATTGTTAAGTTGGCGCCAATTGAGTTTGAAAATCGACTACCCGCCCGATGGATGCAGTTCTCTGATCATGCAATCTGGCCTGATCGCGAATCGAACACTGTGTAATTTTTATGGCAAATAAATTACTTGGCGCAGAATTACAAATTACAAATCGCTGCGATTTGCAATTAAAATTGCAAAACAAGGCATAGCAAAGCCAGAGACTTCAATTTATGTGACTCGCTCTCGGTATGCACTTGGACCCAACTCTCGGCGTGTTCCTGGGGCCAGCCAGGTAAATCTCTTAATTACCTCGCTAGTTGCATTCGCTGCCGTCAAAGGCAACAGGTGTGCGCTTATTAACTCATTATAAATGCATTTCAGTGCAGTTCGATTTGCTTTTAGCTTTCTGAAAAGCATTTCAATTGACACGACACTCGCACATTTTCGAATGCGTGCCAATGCCGCAGTTTTTCCATCTGTTGCTGCCCGCAGCTTAGGGTGGTTCAAGCCACTGCCTAATATTATAAGGAGTGCTCAATGTCTTCAAAACTGTTTAGAGTTGCTTTCACTAATTGTGCATTAAATTATTTCGGAAATGTATACAACACGCTGACTGACTGACTGATCAATTTGTACTATAGTTACTTTATTAGATGTAAGTGACTGCCAAGACAAAATTCTCGCCGCGTTATGCGCTGGTATTCGGTTTACCAAGCGATTGGCTTTTCTCATTTTGTAAAATAACAAATTATTGAGAAAGTTGTATGGGATACGTGTTTAAGGCTTTGCGGAATTACCAACTCCTTGACTGCCTAATAATGAGCTAATGAAAGGTTTCGTTCGAAAAGATTCAAACCTTTTTTGATAGCTCTACAATAAAACGACAATATTGCATTTGTATACTATGTGCTTCAAACTCAAAATCCACAACCTTGATGGAAAATTATAGACTGCTTGCGCAGTCTATTTATTTTATTTATTTATTTAGTTTTTATTTATTAATGGTCGCCAAAAGGAGTGTCTTCCAAATTGTTCAATACATTTGACAAACATTATGAAAATTAAACGCTAACAGCATTTGATAAAATCACACAATAAATACATGTTTCCAAGAATTTGAAAGTCCTCTGCGAAATGGATAGAGAAGTGTCGCGGGCAAGGCCGGATAATATCGAATAGAAACTGCATTTTATTGCAATTAATTTAACATTAGCGTTGCCTGCTGAGTAGCGAAATAAGTTTGATATTTTCTTAGACTCTTGAGACGCCCTAATGCAAATATTTACACCATGCTCTTGTACCGTGTTTGAAATGCAAATTCAATTTGTTAAATGGTTTTAGTTGGCAAATCTCGGAACTTGTTTTGCGTGAGTATGCAATTAACGCCGTCCGTCGTATATTCATCCATCATAATTTTATTTAGTTAATTATAATTTCAGCGTACTCGTATTTACAAGCTGTCTCCGTCAACGTGTCAGCCTCTGTGCGAGTGTGTGTGTGTGTGTGTGTTTAACATGTATCTACGCTTGTGTTGAAGATGCTATTAAGATAAGAGTAGATAATCCCGAATGGCATTAAGCACGTATCTATTGTAAGCATTAGTTGCGCCAAAGTTAGAAAGTTCGTAAAAACTAAAGAATTATGCTCCCTGGGCAGCTGCTGCTTTTTGTGGAATATCCAGGCTGTGAGCTAGCAAGCATTGGGAGAATTTTAGAATTATTTTATGTACTTAAGAAATACCAGAACTTCACTAAGAATTTCGAAGTGCGCGCAAAACGAGCTGCAACTTCCGCAATAAATTCAAAAATGAAAAATAAAAATGCTTCTTATGCTTGCATAAAATAAATCAGCATTCCAACGGCCGCAACCCAAATTTTCCCACCACATTCGCAGACAAGCAAAAAAGATAAAATATAATCAAATAAAAGTATCGGGGCACACACAATGACCATCAAGTGACGGCAGTCGGTTATGCGATCCATTTGTCATATATACTTTTCTATATGAGTTGTAAAAAAACTGCTTGGATCAGCTGGTTCTGCCTAGAATTGCTGAATGAATGGGCGAGTGTTGTGTGTGTGTGTGTGTGTGTTTGTGTGTGTATCTGCATGGGGGAACATGATCCGATATTTTGAGTTTAATTCCTTCACTTGAAAGTTGCCCATTGTGCGGCAATTGAGTCATCAGGGGATTAGACACTGGGCCACAGCCCCAGAGCCCATACCAGTAACAGTAAGACTTCGAGCGCCAGTAGAAGCCGCAGTTCCAACAAATTTTGCCCTGGCGATAATAAATAACAAAAGCTTCGAGGCACGGTTATTGGATATGGAGCGGATCGGTCGCAACTCAAACGGATATATAATATGAGTGCACAGGGCCATTCGGTCTTGTTTTTTGTTAATGTTTCTCATAATAAATCCCAATGATATCTGGTGGCGAACCAGAACTTGAACTTGCGATCCACACACATCAAAATGTATTTATCAGCGCTTTTTTTCCAGAAAAAAACAACAACAACTGAAAACTCAACTCTAACAAATTTTTGGTTTTATATACAAGTACAAGTAGATAGTACCATAACTCTTACAAGTTGTCCACTGATAATAAAAAATGTAAAGCAAACGAACAAAGAGTGTTTTTTTCGAAAGTACCAGATTATAATATGCCCTGTACCCGACTTCAATCTCTCATAACTCCAATAAGAATTCCGAAAGTCTTAGTCTATGCAAAATTTAAACTTAATTGTTTGTATAGTCCAATCCTTATGGACGCAGGGCTGTGTATATTAACTAGACTTTACATGTTTATTATTTTGTCTCTTGACCTTGTTTTCTTTTATTCTTGTTCTTTCTATACTGTACGAATCAAATTTGATGCAGCTTACAATCTGCGGAATATTTAAATAAAACAAAGGATTCAATATGAATATTTATTGAATATTGAATATTCAAATACCTTTGCTTTTGCAGTTCCTGATATCGACTCCTGATTTCAGGCAGGCAGACAAATATGTATATACTTTCAGTAAAGTACATTTATTAAGGGTTTAAAAGTATAATCTTAATATAAATTCATAGAAGAGTAAAGTTCATAGAGAGAGTAAAGCTTAATAGACTCATAAATAATGAGCTTATAATAAATCCAATTGTAAATGGGGTAATCTTATCATATCGCCTACCACTTGACTGCTCTATATAAGGTGCAGAATTGAATTGGTTCAATTGTCGGGCTAAAATGAAAACTGTCGTCTACATTCTTTTGTCGGTGCTATGGCTGACTTTTGCCTCTGCCGCGGTGAATTCGATAATTAAAAAAAAGTATCCTGAGTCCTGCCAAGCTGCAAAGCCCAATAAGAATGGCATCTATAAAATCCAAATCAAAGGCGGGGAGGTGATGTCCGTGTATTGCGATGTGGCTCTGACAGGTTCACCGTGGCTGGTGATTCAGCGACGTTCGGATGTGAACCTTAACTTTTATAGGAGCTGGTCGGCCTATAAGCAAGGATTTGGTGACCTGCAAAGTAGCTTCTTCATCGGACTGGACACGCTGAATGCCCTAACTGTATCGCAACCTCATGAGCTTTATGTCCATCTGGAAGACTTTGAAGGCCAAACACGCTATGCCAAATACGACGCGTTTGCCATCGGCAACGATGCCAACTTATTTGGCTTAAATACATTGGGTAACTATACCGGCACAGCTGGAGATAGTCTGAGCTATCAGAGAGGCATGAAGTTCACCACCTATGATCGGGACAACGATCAAAGTAATACAACCAACTGTGCAGTTCAATACACTGGTGCCGGGTGGTACAATGATTGTCAATGGAGGTAAGTGATAGTAAACAAGTCCTAAAACTTCGGAGCTGACATAGTCTACAGATATTTGTATGTTTGTGTATTATGATCACTATTTTATAGATATAGTTATTTAATATTTTCTTCCTGTTTTTTTTTCAAAGTAATCTAAATGGACTCTACTTGGGTGGTGACTATGGAGAGGATCAATTTGCTCGCGGAATAAGTTGGATTACTTGGCGAGGCTTTAATTATAGCCATAAGACCGTTAACATGATGATTCGACCCAAGTAATGCCCAACTAACATCTAGATTTTTATACAGTGTACAAAAACTAAATTTTCATTTAAAATCATTTTGGCAATTAAACAATTGATCCACTCAGTTGTGCACGACTAAGCTTAAAAAAATCTCTCAAAATGTATTTTCTATCGATCTTGTTAAAATGGGTTGAGATATGGGGGAGAAAAGTTGGAAACTCGTTCGTATGAGCATTTATATTACCAATTTCAAATCTTTATAATTCCAGTTAATCATATCGACTCGTTTATATAGGCGTACAGACAGACGGACATGGCTAGGTCGACTCCGCTTGTCATCCTTATTAGATAGAGATAGTTACTTCAAAGATTACCACAAAACCAGTATACCCCTTAAACCCTTAATGGGTAAAGGTTATGTGAAAAAATGTATTTCTTAACTATATACACTACCAATTTTGCATACCAAGTGTGAAGTGTCGATATATTGCAAATGTTTTTTTTTTTGTTTCTTTTGTATGGTATGAGAGAAGATAAATATATATATTTAATTTCAAGACTCTCGCTCTTGTAGTTTCCGAGATCAAGTTTCAAACAAATGGAAATCGCTGGTTCAACGCAGCTCGTCGTCGTGACCTTCTGCTTTGGACAACTAACAATTTGTTAAGGATTTTACATACAAAAATTTTTATTTATCTAATCATAACTAAAGACGTGATACCTTACCCTAAATTTATTAATAAAATATATTTTATCGTCAATATATTTACAATTGTTTTAATCTCTATATATAAAAGAGTTTGTCCTGACTGAGAGCCTGTAGAGCCTGAAAGCGGACATTTTTTTTGTTCGCCAACTTATGGGTGCACGTTAAGACTATTTCATGAAACTATTTCGTTTATTCTCTCCCGCACGCAGTCTATTAATTACCAATAAAAAATGGTAAATATCCAAGAACTTGCCCTGGTGGTCATTTACGTTGATCAACAAGCTAAATAAACTCCAGCTAAGAAACTCTTTGCTGCTCTCGATGCTCACATTAATTTGCTTTTACGTAAATTGTCCCATTTCAAATGCACAAAAGGAAGCCGACCTCTTGGAATTAATTAAAAAAATATATTTTACTAATCTGATTTAAAATTAATGTGTTTTCCCGCCATCTTCTTGTGGGTACTAACCCTCAACCACGTGCTCAGTTTGCCAATGAAAATCTAACTACGTTACTTAATTTGATTTGAGTCTGCCAAAATATGCAAATGACAGCATTACAAAATTGACCATTTTTTAACTGCCTAATTATTTTCCAATTTTTTATTGCTTTTTATTTGTGATTAATGTTTGTGATTACCTTTAAATTAAATAAACAAGTATTTAAATAGACAATTACTGTCAAAGTTGAACCCACGACCTCTCGCTTCTTAGTCCTAATACACTTACAACTACATCTTCGTTTTTTGATGCCCTTCATTAAAATATGACCATTTCAGCTTCGGAGCTTAAGTGGCTTGGACACCGTTCAGTCATTCAGTTATGACAAACTCTTTTATATATAGATTAAGTATTAAATTTTTGAAGCGTATTCGGCAGCATTAAAAGCAAAAGTTTCTCGAGGTGCCGACCCTAGCTCATTTCCTGTTGAATATTTGAACAGCGCCGGGTCGGGGCAGAGGCAAGGCCAACTAATACCTTCACGTTGACAACTCGAATACTGCGTCTTTTGTTCTAGGTGCCGGCCAGCATAGAACAACGAATCCAGAAAGTGCCACCGAATATGATAACCATGCTGACAGCACAAATGAGAGCCACCTACAAAGTGCATACAAATACTCGAACAGGCGACAAACAAACAAACAAACAAACAAACAAATGAACAAATATTTGCCTTAACGGGAGGAGCAAACCAAGCTGGAGGCGATAAAATGGTTTTTATGATAAATACATAATACAATGAGTACACACACACACACACACACACACACACACACACACACACTGGACATGCATATGTGCGAGTATTTTTAAATGGGCCACAGACGTATTGTCTACGGCATTTGACAAAGTATAGAGTATGTATATATATATATATATATATATGGTATATCTGTAGGGCGCAGAAGTGGAGAATAAACGTTCAAGTGTCAAAGTGACAGCTTTGAAATTGATTACAGCGACAATTGTGTGCTGGCCGCTGAGTAAATAAGGTTGCGATGGTTTTAAAGTGACGTACTATTTGAACGGCACTATATAGGCAATAATATATGAATATATATGATGGGTATATATAGAGTGGATATGGCCAGACATATAGCAGGGCCAACTCTACTGCACACTCTATTCCCGGATGATTGACGGCGCACACGTGGTAACTGCGTTTATACGTGTCGAGCTATCAAATAATGAAAACACGGCTCGAGTACTTTAACATTTGTAAACAAAAGAATTTATTTGTTTATGGTTAGACAGCGTCAAAAGTAAACGCATGCAGTATATAAAAATATTGGATACTTTAATTTAGTGAGTGCTTTCATCTATTTACAGCAGTATATTAGTTTTCATCTGAGAGCATATATTCTAATAATAAGTCTCTTAAAATTACTGCGATTAGCAAATTAAAATTAAAAGTTACTGCCTTGCTGCAATATCAAATTACAAGAACATTGTTTGTATAGTGGAATAAATGTGCTGTGGTGTCATATTTGTTTACATCAAATTGATTTGTCTCGCGAATCATTTGATTGTTTTTTCAGCTAAAGTCCGTATGCGGATCGAACGTTTCGAATAACAGCACGAATACAGAGACCTAACCCATTTCCAATGTGCTGTATTGATAGAATTTTAATCGAACCCTAGGGATATGCCATTAATTCTGGGCGCATGCCTCCACGACGCGACGCCACAATTGAATTGGACAGAGCAATATCTTTGCGGGCCTTGGCCATAGATAAATGTTGGTATATCTCGACGGGGCTATTGAGATACCCCTGTCAAATATTGGCAAATCGAGAAAAAAAGCGTCACTAACGAACGTGGCTGGTGCACAAAAGCCGAGATTTATGCGACTGCATCACAAAAAAACTATGCAACCCAACGCAAGTTGACCAGTTGCCCAGTTGCCCAGTTTCAGCTCAAGCTGCGGCCACGTGGGTCGCTCACACCTGGAAAATGCGCTGGGGCTGGGGCTGGGGCTGGGGCTGAGGCCAGGCCAAGCCCTGCAAATAAATTAAGTGCCATGTGAAAATATTTCACGCGTGCTAAAGTCCGCACTAAATATGCTTTGTACTTATGTATAGTTACAGTTGTTGTTGCTGTTGTTGTTATTGTTATTGCTGCAGTATCCATGAGATACAAATCGGCATTGTCGTTGCGGTTCATTTATTCCGCAGCGTTTGACAAATGCAGCGCCAGGAAACGACAACGAGCCATGGACTGATTTGAATACTATTTGGTCGATGTGGCGGCATTTGCATTTTTAAACGATTTTCCCATTTGGGTATTTGGATTTTGGGCTCGTTGAAATTATGTATGTAAATGTGTGCTGACGGCTTCAGTTGTCATGGGTTATCAACATTTGAACCCGCACTTAACGATAAGAGGAAGCCACAGTACACACAGAGAGCCACGCACACACACACACACAAACAGACACACACGTTCACATACACACATACAGATGTATGCATGTACAAACATGTTTCATATTTGTATGTAAAATACATCTGTTGCCATGATTTCCAACCACGCCCCATACATAAGCTTAGCATACCACAGCCAGATGAATTTCGCACAGAGAAAAATTCCACTTTGCTTCGGTTAAAGTGCATTTATTTGTATGTTAACAGATATTTATTTATTTATGGTTAAGTTAGCTTTATTGAATAAATTATAATATTCATAAGATATAACCATAAATCCAACAGGTAAAGCAGACTTTGCTTTGAGCTCTAGGATTGCAATTACCTTTTACTCTTTTTGAGGCTATAACTTGTTGAGAATTGCAAGCTTTAAGCGACGAACGAAGGCAATGCGAGCATACCAAAGTCCGCTCTCTGTGCGTTTTACCCTGGCGCAATAAACTGGTAGAGGAAATAATTCGACCTTTATCAACCAAACAAGCGCCCAATTTTTGTATATGGATAATGTGTATGCAAAGGGGAGCTTTTTTGGTTGTAGTTTATCTTAATTAAAGATTACATAATTATTAAATGTAATAGACAATAAAAGTTATTTATTAGGTTATCAATTGCTACCAAATTATATTTGATTTATATTTGAACAATACCTACAAAATCAAAAAATAAAAAAGTTTTCCTTTTAATGTTCTAATTGCATTGTAATTTTTTTTCGCGTATTTCCAAACTTGAAGTTCGTTTTTTTTTTATTTTGGTGAGAGAGTTAACTCTTATTAGGAATTTTCATACCTTACTTAAAATAAAAATAGGATTGAAGCTTAACTATGAAGTTGAACTAATTGGACAAAAACTAAAAATACATATGCCTTAAATTGGTGTGATTAAAGTATAATCACACTATGAGGGGGAGTTCATGGCTGGAAGATATCCTACAACTCAGAGCTCAGAGCTTCTTTAACATAATGTAAAGTTTCCTTTTGTAAAAGGATCAAATATTTTTCAACCGTATGCACTACACTCTTAACCTATATCCGTTTTTACCTACTGATTTCGAAAACTTAAAAAAATCTGTATTTGCCTTTGGTATGCTAAGCCCTTCTTATGTAGTTATAAAAAGTGGCGCCTAACCAAGACGTGACCAATAATCTAAATGTGTACGAACAGCTCCGGCTTATGCCTGTTACAAACATTTGCACAACTGCAATATTTTATACCCATCTTTAGTTGGGTACAGGGTATAAAACTACATACCATACATATAAAAGGCCCAGTCAATAGAGGAGTATACCTCTGCCCAGTACAATGCATGAAAATTAATGTTCGCAATCTGTAAATTCCTGTAAAACGTAATTCAAACTCGACAAATACAGCCATACACACACACACACACACACTTGAACACACATGGCACACAGATACGCACGCTTTGCGACTAAACGGGCCTTCCTAGAGATGGGCAATTGCTTAGCTAGTTAATCAATTATTTATTTTTTATGAGCAATCAATTAAGTCGATAATAAAATCAAGATAATTTTTTTTTTAAATTAGATAGCAGTTGTTAGCATAGGCAGGAGTTGTCGTGTTTGGTACCAATCGAAAAATATCTGAAATATAAATAGATAAACTCTTTATTATAATATTGCTAATTGCAATTCTTAAAGTCATTGGTCACTTGTTGAAAAATGACTTATCAGCTAGCCCAGTCATTGTATCTGCGATTAACTATCGATAGCGAACAATCGGTCTCGGCCCACTCAGCGCCAGCACAATCCAGCCAAACTGGGCAAAAGTTTAATATTGGGTATATTCATTTTTAAGTAAGCTATGTAATGTCTTGAACGAAAGCATTTCGTTATCGATTTTACAGATTTAGTAATCTATTTGTGGTGTATTAATTTTGGTTTGAAATATTTAATAGCTTGAATTATAAGGTTATATATTTATAATTTGGGAAATGTCTTCTCTGATTTAAAAGCCATAAGTTTCCTGATATTGGTTTTGTATAGCTATATGCCTTATAGATCGATATTGATTAAAAGTATGATATATCATTGTATAAAAATTCGTAAGGGTATTTAGTTTTCTACTGCCGAAATTCGTATATTTATGTTGTCTTTTATTAATTTTATTTCACAGCTTTGTTTTTATTGTATGCAATTTATTTGCTCCATGGCATATTTCTTGTGAGTAGTTTTTTTATTTTATTTTTTTGTATTTTTTTTAATTAAAATTGTTGCCATGGAAATTGTGGAAGGAAACGGCGTTGTTCTCTTCACCACCTTGCCCAGCTGCGGCAACTGCTGCAGTTGTTGCATGTTGCCTGTGTTGCAGGTTTACAAGACGACAACGCTTGTACGACATGCTTTTCTGCAACGCGCCAACGTTGCATGCCACCAGCCGGGCAGCCACTCAGATAGACAGCAAGGCGGACGGAGAGACGGAGAGACAGAACAGCCAACGAAATAAATGATCGACGATGTTGCAAAGTATTAAAGTCAGCGACACAATCTGCATATTAAACAAGAAAAAAATAAACAAACTTTGAGCACATGGACAACATTGAATACCCTTGCAGATCTACTAAAGATGAATTAGATAAATGATAAAGAGCTATTTAAATATATATTTACAGCTCCTTAGAAAGATACGTAGGCTTCGGTTTATTACGATTAGAATCAATATCATACTCTAGGGTTGGGTTCCCGAACGTGGTTTACCACACGAAATTATATGGTTCGGTTCAGGTATAAGCTTGGATGTTATATAGTCAGCTTAGTCGGCTCAAGGTATAGTCCATGGTAAATAAATTTGAGTTCCGGCTTCAAACCGGTTCGGTCAAAAACTAGTTTGCAGCCTTGGCTTGATTCAGTGCGTTGCATAGTTCGCTTAAAAGGTGATAATGTCCTCTGAAAAGGTAGTCAAGACAACAGCAACTGCAACTTGTTGCACAGTACATACACACACATTAGTGGATGTATGTAATAAAATTAATACACGCCTGACACACACTCGCCAGGCAGGCTTGCAGGTGTTTAGCCCGGCCTAGAAAACCGGAAGGTGCCGGGCCAGGACTTTGCTCCAACAGCTGATTGGATTGGATGCGCGCAACATCAGCCTGGCTCAAAACTAATGAAGCATTTCGATTGTGCCAATTCATGTTGCTATTCATTAAAGCTTGCAGTCAGCATTACGAACGGTTTCTGTATTCGCAATCGCATTTGTAATCACATTCGTATTTTATATGCATTTTTTGAACTTTTGCCACAACTTCCGCTGCGAACAAATCGAGTAAAAAACTGCCGTACTGGCACATTCAAATTAAATGTTGCATATGTTAAATACATACACACTTACTTACTGCATATGTATGTATGCAACTCCCTGCCCCTTGCAATCACCCGACCTTAGCTACTGTGTGTCAGCGATCCATTACATACATTACATTTATACAAGAGACAATAAATTTGTTTAAATCATGACTAAAGCTTGAGTCATGCAACTAAATATTTGTTTTCATTATTGTATATACAAGAAATAATTACTATGGATGGGAGTAAGAATCTGGACAAAAAGTTTGTCTTCTCAGCTCAGATCAGGTCTTCTCCAGCAGGAGTTTCGACCTCCCTGACGAAGGTAGGTTGAGCAACTTCTGCTGAGATTACTATTGTCCCTCTAAATTATTATTTCTTCGATCGGAACTAAGCGATTTAAGCAAAATAGAATAAATAAACTCCTGGTACGACTAAAGCAAATTTTATTTGAGTATTGGGATGAAAACAGGCGGTCGAGATGGATATATAAACAAGGTCTATTATAGTCCCAGTACTATTATAGTCTGACGCTCAAGCTCTTAAGCCAACAGCGTTCCAGTTGAATGATTTTTTGTGCAGAAAGAAAGCTTCAGTAAGAATATATTAATAAAATTGAAATGTTTTTGTAGTAGATAAAAATAATACGGAAGCACCATAAAAAGTCGGTGAAGCAACGAGAAATGACGACTAATAAGTCGAGTGGTCATTTAATTGGAAAGCATATAATTCAGAGGCCATTTTTAAAATAAATCAGTTAGCTACGGTTGGCAAACTATGACTCGGTGAGTGAATACTTGTGGCCGCAAATAGGCATTTACGAGAGACAAGTCGCAAGTAAATGACTCAAGCCGAATGGTATTTGCAGTTGGCTGGGCGATGACGCTGCGGGCATCGGCAATCGATGCACGGATGTATTGGCAAATATGTGCGCCCAGATAGAGATACAGATACAGATACAGATACAGATACATGCTGACGCTTCGTTACAATTCCCAAATACTTTTCAATAGAATGTCAGCGGTAGAAATTGCTGAATCGCGAGGCGACGGACGCCTCTCGCGTTTGATTTGGTTCTGTCATGCTCTTTTTAAAAGTGTATCTCTAAGTATCTCTATCTGCATCTGCATCTGTATCTGTAGATGTATCTGTAGCTGTATCTGTGTGTGCCTTTTGTAATGTAATTGAACTAAATGCGGCGGCTGCGTGTGACATTTTTCTGCTGCGGCTGCCGATTGTCGATTGCCGGCTTCTTCTCTGGCAAGCCATAGAAAAACGTCAAGCGATGCAGCTGATGAGCATGTGAGTGCCTACACACGTATGCACATATGTATGTGTATATTTATATACATGCATCTCAATCTCAATCTGAATCTGAATCTGTATCTGTATCTGTATCTGTTCTTCGAGCTGATATCTAGCAGAGCGTCGCCGACGCGTCGTCGTCGCCTTGCGGCCAATCTAGCGCGACCATTGATGAAAGCTGAAAGCGACCCG